AAAAATATTGTTAATTTCGGTTAAAAAATGGCAATGGACCTTCAGTCAGAAGCTTAAAAGAAAGTGAAGGAGTCATTTCCGACCCTATAAATCATATATATTCTTGATCAGCATCAACAGGCGATTCTTTTAAGCCATCTCCGGCCGAAAAAAATTTTTCCAAATATTTCCCATTTTTGTAAAAAAAGGAAAGGGGTTACATCATGAAAATTTGCAAAAATCGTCCAAAATTTCACATTTTAAATGGAGTATGCAGTTTTGTTAACCTGCTAAAAATTAACATACTGCCGCTTTCCGAATTGAAATTAATGCGTTTTTGGCTTAGTTATGAAATTTTTAAATTTTGATTTGTCGAAAAATTGCATATAAAAATATTGTTAATTTCGGTTAAAAAATGGTAATGGACCTTCAGTCAGAAGCTTAAAAGAAAGTGAAGGAGTCATTTCCGACCCTATAAATCATATATATTCTTGATCAGCATCAACAGGCGATTCTTTTAAGCCATCTCCGGCCGAAAAAAATTTTTCCAGATATTTCCCATTTTTGTAAAAAAAAGGAAAGGGGTTACATCATGAAAATTTGCAAAAATCGGCAAAAAATTCACATTTTAAATGGAGTATGCAGTTTTGTTAACCTGCTAAAAATTAACATACTGCCGCTTTCCGAATTGAAATTAATGCGTTTTTGGCTTAGTTATGAAATTTTTAAATTTTGATTTGTCGAAAAATTTCTTATAAAAATATTGTTAGTTTCAGTTAAAAAATGGTAATGGACCTTCAGTCAGAAGCTTAAAAGAAAGTGAAGGAGTCATTCCGAATTAAAATTACTATGCAATGGCCGAAGTGCGAAGGCAAGTAATCCTGTTTTGGCAGTTCACACCTCTAATGCAACCGCAAGGAGATGTCGAAGAGAGATAGCTAGAGATATAGGGAGAAGAGAAGAGGACTAGAAGAGCATTCCTGCAGTGTCACATGACAAATGACTGCCGAAGGCCCTTGCCTTCGACGGCAGTGATTGCGCAAAATTGTAGTGCGCTATCCTTGCATGTGCGTGCAGTGGTCTCTAACCCTGCCAACATCAGCACCGACTCCGAGGCCCGAATACCGAGCCCGCTCCCGAGCTGACCCTATCTCACACATATGGCCCCTTGATCCAGTGGCTGGCTCATTTGTTCGACTCGAAAACCCATTAAAATCGTTCATGCCCGAAAAAAGTGTCAACGTAACAAAAGCATCGCTTCGACTTCAAATGCACCGATCCGGGGCGGCGTCTTTAATGCCCACCAGGGTGTCCTGGAGCGTTCCGTTTGATCTCATTGTGGCCCGGCCCGACTCTCGTGAATGCGTTCCACCGCCTTCAATGCACTGCTGCAGAGCCCCTCCTGAGCCTGGATCTGCGCCGGAGTCGTTCTTGTTGATGAGCTACAAAATATTTTATTAACGTATTATCACACTTTAACCACCGCTCCGTCCCGCTTCCTCTGGGCATTCCTTTCCCTCGTTCCTGACCTCTCTTTCGTTCTGTTCATCTGGGATTTGTTTTGATCAAGTGTTTGTGTGCATTGTTATTTAAATTAGTTTCATTTCATTCCGGCACGACCCCGGACTCCTCCGATTTCCCCCGATTCCAATAATTACGTTTCTTCTGCCGCCGGATTATGATTATAACTAATTTCGGCCTCTTTACCATGTACCCAACATGAAAGCCTTGGCGACTTTTGTAAATTAGTTTAAATGGGACTCGGCGGGAAATTTGATTTTAATTTAAACATGGTATTTAGTGGTCTTCTCATTTGTATTTTCCCTTGCGAGGGCGTTTGAATTTTTTATCGGTAAACTAATACGATTTCCTGAGATAAATTCGCTCTCGGAATCTTTATAATGGCCCTTAAAATATTCCATTCTTGGGACTAGTAGAGGGGAGATAATAAACCCAATATGCGTTGTATTTTCATTATCATTTACTATGGTAAAAAAAGAACTAGCCATTTGAATGCCAAATAATAAGTGTGTATACCCTTAGAGCTTGCAATTGAATTAACTTTAAATATTTGCAATCGATCGATCTGTTTTTATTTAATCATTTTCCGTCAAATTAAAGTTTAAAAAACTCATAATTAAAAAATCAAGTATTTTTTATTCGAAAAGCTGTCCTATGCAAGTTTTTGTTAGGCTTATAAATCTGCATACGAAAATGACTTTTGAGAGCGTTAAAAGCTTCTGACTGATATTATAATACCCTGCAAGGCTATAAAAATATAAGTGAAAAGAGGGAGTTGGTACTAAGGATAGTGAAGGGAGATAGTAAATAGAATGTTTGGTTTTAACCCAAACCCGCAAAGCTTTGCACAAATTTTCATTTGTGCAGAGCAAAATGGTTTCTTCTGACATAAGTATACTTTTCTCCCCCATCATGTATTGTTCAAAAATAATATATTTCGGCCAAATTGTTAAGACTCTGGCAGCATAACATGCTTTTCCTTCGCTGTTAAACCTAACCCATGTGAGCGGCATTACTTTTAAAGCTCCTGTAATCCTTATGCTGACATGGATCTTAAGACTTAAGAAATAACATACGGCTGAGTCGCGCCGAACTGAAATGAGCCGCGTTGAGCTTGAGGGCTTGGGTATGGGTTTCGGTTCGGGCTTGGCATTGGGACTGGTATTGGGGTTACCCCTTTGGTCAGGTACGTGTCATTCGCGCCCAAGATATGTCAAATCCCGAACCTGCGGCTCCGAGACAGGGAGCGCGTTCTCGAAACTGACATTTGACAGGCGGTCGATCCCGTGTTCTCCCGCGGAAAAAGGGTTTCTCACCTCTTCCCCGCTCCAATCGAAAATGCGTTTTCATTTGCTGGTCGCATTGCATTAAATGCATCAATTTAGGTCGTAGATTCGGTGTCAGGACTGTTGATTGATGACAGTGCTGGGGGTTTCCAGCTTATATTGACCCCCAGTAAGATAATGGACAGAGTACCGATTGATTTTTGTGCAGCAATTGTCCATCAAAAGTGATTGGACTCTAAAAATAAGCACACACACACACACTCAACGGCATGGGAAATGACCGCTTGCCTTTTGCACTTTGCCACCTTTGGGGCCGGGGCCACACAAGGCAGCGCCTACCTGCTGTTCGGGAACACAACTTGAACGTCATCGGAGATGATGGAATACCTGCCCAGATTACGAAACCGCAGTAATTTATCAAAGCTTAGGGCCTCAAACGATTTTCCACCGAAGTCAGGTCACCGGTCACCGAAAAGAAAGCCCAGAAATTCAAAGTCGTAGCTCGGCTCCACAGTAGCCAAAGTGGTACCCTGCCGGTCGGAGTTGGTGCCAAAATAAAAAGGCCTTTGTCAGGGTCGCCGCTGGATTGATTTCTTTCTTTCGCTGGCTCCCGCTCCCTTGGCATGGATGGGCAAGTAGCAACAAATTAATAAAATGTTTAACATTTAAAAACTAATTGATTTTTCTGCCTTCCACCTTTTCTTCTGTCGTTTCCCTGTCCCGCTGCATCGCTTTGTCTTCACGAATTACCTCGGCTCGCGGGCCGGCTCCAATGGGTCTTCGATGCTCCAGGAACCCGATCCGAACCGACCCCCCTATATCGTATAATTAAGTTTTATTGTTTCGCGTGTTGAAAGATTAATAGTCGGACTTCTGTATTTTATCATTCAGATTCATCCATTTCAATTCCATCCCATTTAATACACATGTGAATTTATCGACTTCTTTATTGGACCATAGGTCCAACTAAAAAGTGGGCGTTCCGAGCTCCGTTCCGTTGTGAGGTTTCGCTTAAGGGGATTTTGGGTGTGGCCTGTGTGTCGTCGCCTAAGCTCATAACCGCGCCAAAAGATTGTTTTACAGGTTTGGGGTTTGTCCTAAACAAATTATGAAATACCCCGCAAATCCCATTCCGACAATTTGCATGAGGGCCAGGTTATTATTGATAATGGCTCAGGGATTAGACCAGTGCCAGTTCCGTTTGATAAAACTCCCATTAATCAGATCTGAACAGGTAACCGGAAATCATACAATTCGTAATGCCAATTAATAATATCGTCTGAAAGACCGGAAAAGATTAACAGGCCAATACTTTGACCGCAATATCAGTTCCCAAGTAGGAGACCTTCTGCCACACACAGACCCACGAAGGGACGATAAATTTAATCAAGTGCCGTAGTATTTCCGCTTCGCCAGAAGTCCCACAAATAGTGGTCACAGCGGGATCTGGACGCGCTGGGTCCTAATCCTAAACGAAGTCCTTTGAAAAACGAGTTTGTGATCTTGTTGAATAATTCCCGCAAAGGCGACCGCTGCTCCGCTTTGATCCCAAGCCGTTAAGGGTTGCGACTCCTCCGCTCCGCCCCGAACCCGTGGCTTATTGTGTAATGAGCTCTCCAAATAATTTGGCATGGCCGTGTTCCTTTTAGTGTGGCTCCGCCGCCGCCGCCACACGCCGCGCTTCAAGCCCGATTGCCAATGACAGCGGCTTTTCCCGGGTTCCCTTTCGTAAGCAGATGCCGAAGTTAATTGGCGCACTCCCCCATGGCCGCTGACAACTTGCCGATCATCTTCTTGTGTAACGTGATATATTGTGTCACTTGTCAATGCTGTGACTTTTACGAGCTGCCTGCGGCAACGCCCCCTCTCTATATAACTGCCGGAGTCCCTGGAGTAGAGTGCCTTCTGTGGGATCGTCGGTGGCTTTGACAGATTTGCTGCGCTCCCTGACGTTTCAATTAATATGCAATGGCGCGTATTGAAAGTGGACTCCCATTCACATGGAGATGGAGATGGGACTATGATCGGGGGTCACACGATCGCCGGCGATCCACGTCGGTGGCCCCTATTCATTAAATCCGGAGATCAAGTCGCCGAATATGTTTTATTTTCAAGGGGTGTGGAGAATTTTATGGCCTTTTACAAGGCGTTAATAATTTTAGAGCTCCCCTCAATGCCTTTAATTTAACCCGAATCGTTTTCCCATCGTTGCAGGCCGCGACTCGGACATGAGTGAGACGGAGTCGGAGCCTGGGATTCCGTTGAAGCGCAAGCAGCGCCGTTCCCGCACCACCTTTACCGCCGAGCAGCTGGAGGCTCTGGAGCGGGCCTTTGCCCGCACCCAGTATCCGGATGTCTATACCCGAGAGGAGCTGGCCCAGACCACTGGCCTCACCGAGGCTCGTATCCAAGTCTGGTTCTCCAATCGCCGGGCCCGTCTTCGCAAGCACTCGGGTGGATCAAGCTCTGGTCTCTCCCCCATGAACAGTGGCGGCAGCTCCAGTGTGGGCGTGGGTGTCGGGGTGGGCCCAAGCGGAGCCACTGCTCCTCTGGGCTTTGGCCCCCTCGGAGTAGGCTCCATGGCGGGCTACAGCCCAGCACCAGGAACCACCGCCAACGGAGCAGGCATGAACGAGGTAGTGCATCATACGGCTCACGCCCCTAGCTCCCATCACAGTGCAGCAGCGGCTGCTGCGGCGGCGCATCACCACACTCAGATGGGAGGCTACGACTTGGTTCAGAGTGCGGCCCAGCACGGATTCCCAGGCGGCTTCGCACAGCCCGGACACTTTGGCAGTCAAAACTACTACCATCAAGGTGAGTGACCTATACTAGGTTTCTTCCGGAGACACTCCCTCGTCAAAAAGTCCTGTCTCTTAACTGATCAACCTTTCCGTCTTTATAACCTATTCCACCGATCCCCTTACAGACTACTCTAAACTGTCAATAGATGACTTCTCCAAGCTGACCGCCGACAGTGTTTCCAAGATCTCGCCCTCGCTGCACCTGAGCGACTACTCAAAGCTGGAGTCCCAGTCACCCTCGAACTGGTCGCAGGCCGCCTACCATCTGAACCAGACGGCGGTGGCCGCGGCCAACTACAATGCCCATGTGGCCCAGCACCAGCTCAACGACTATGCCGCTGCAGCGGCTCACGGGAACGCAGCAGCGGCGGCTGCCTACAACCACAATCACCCCTTGCCGGCACAGGGCCAGGCCAAGTACTGGTCATAAGTCGTAGAGTAGTAACCTATCGATTTTCGTGTTAGTTTCATGCATTTCAATTATCAGCAGAGGCTGAGGCAGAGGCTGAGACGTATAGAGTGTTAGGTAACTATTTACACTCCTGAAACGTGAATATGGAAAGTATCGGCTTGGCTATAATTTAAGATTACTTTGCTTACTGCCTGGGCATTACATGGCTTTCAGAGGCGCATTAAGGCTGGCAGCATTTGAACCGATATATGTAAATATATTTATATTTATTAGATTCAGACTATATTGTTCAACAAACTAGATACATGAAATTTAATCTTAATCAAAGAAATAATAAATATAGTTTAATCAAGAGTCGTTGCAACCTTTCTTTGGTGGTGAATTAAGAACCCCTATGTAAGTCCCCAATTAAAGCCGTATCCCGTATTGTAGGAACAAACCAGTAATATGTGTATATATTTGCAATAGTTTTATATGATATACATAGTGTGTACACAGATATATATAACTTTGATAATTGGTGGATAATTTCGGCGCGAGTACTAGCTCCGTTCGTGACTTCGAAGCTCAATCTCATGCACGCGTGCGCAGATAATTTTCATATATAATAGAAGTAAATATTTTGTAGTAAATAATTAGATGTGTTTTAGCATTTTGAATACTTTGATTTGAAAATACATAATCGTTTAAGTTAATTATTGACAACATCAGACTTATTATTACACACAGTGAATATGTTTATTTAAATTTCTTTCGTATTACAAGGACTTTTTCTAGTAATTTGAAAGGGTTAAAATCAATCCAAATATGCCTTGTAATGAAATACATGATACCCTTGATTAATATTTTATATACTTTATTGTCAGTATTTATTGTTTATTGTCGGAAATACATATTTGTATATATATATATATAGTATAATAATGTATATGTAAATCGATATTTGTTTTGTTGTCACCAAATTTTATTGTCTTTGACGCAGTTTGTTAACACTCTCATATTTATTCATGATCGTTGGTGGCAATACTTAGCTTTGGACTAGGGTTAGTAAATATTTATTGTCATATACACATAAAAGAGCTTGAGGAAAAGGAACCTAAGCTGGTATTAGTACACTATTAGCGACGAAGGAAAGGTAAGGGTTCTCGTTCTCCGAGCAAGGTACGGCATTGGCACTAACTTGATGATACCCTCGATTTTTTAAATTATAGAGACGATATGACTGGCTATGATATTAATCGTTAGTCGTTCCTATGCTTTGCACTGATATCAGTTACTTCAGTTTTTGGTAAATATAGTTTATACATTGAGAGTTACAGCGATACAGAGTGGCACCTCCGACTGCGGCCCTCGATTGCTCACTCTCGGGCCATGTGTCGGTCGGGGGTGCAGCAGGTGTTGTGTGTGACTTTGATAACTTCGATAACGCGGGATCTACATTTAATAAGTTTAGTGGTACTGCATTGTCCTACATTCCGGTAACGGATACTGAAACTTTACTTTAATCCGGTGCCGTGTAATCGGTACCGTATAATTTAGCATAATATTGTCAATATTTAGTATTCGTAATTGTCCAAGTTGCGTCGAAATTCGCGTCGGTGCAGGGCTGTGATACGCGGCGGAGTGCCCCAGGTGTGGAAGGGCGGATAGGCAGGAGCTCCAGATCGCACAAACGACCGAGTGGACGAAGAACTCCTCGCATTTCCCGTGGGCAGCGAGTTACTGGTCACTCCCTCCGGGTCCACGTAGTACTTGGACAGTCGGCCGCGTATGCCAGCTCCGCTCCAGTTGATCATCGGTTGGTTGGGAATGAAACACTGCTTACAAACGGCTGCGGTGGGTTGACGCAGTCGCTCGTGTTGGGGGAAGTACCCGACCTGTGTGTGGGAGAGAACGTTTATTGTTTCACCTAATCGCCAACGGACATTTCACACGAGTTCTCTACGGCTAGACAGAATGGACCCTCAGTCAACACTATATAGTAGGTGCAGGATGCAGTCGATTCTTGCGAAAAACCCGTCAGAGCCAAACTACGAAAAAGAGGCTTAAGTAACACAAAATGACCAAATCAAATAGAGTTAAAGTTTCCATAGTAGGACCACATCATGCCAATGAGGGTAAACATGCCAATGCAAACTGATTATAAGTAGTAACACCACAAACAAAATGAATTTATAAATTATTCTAATTGAATTTGAATACATATGTGTACAGATAATCATTTTCCACAAACAGGTGTGTGATGGCTCGGGCTTTATATACATTTGTTATTGATAAAAGAATCTATTTATTTACACCCTTTCAGGGTATTATTTTTTAGAAATAAGTTTTCCTTAAGGGTCTCTTTGAATGCATTGAATCTACATCACTCTTATGGAGCCACCTAGCGACAACTGAGTCAAAGTGTTGCCAACTTTTCGGCTGCTTTAAATGAAATTAATGTATACCGGATGGAACAGACTTATTTAAATGCAACTTGTCTCCCACATTAGTGCAGAAGAGGCATGTAGGACTTATACGGATTTATTTTAAAGCTCTTGCTTGTCAATAAAGCTAAAGGGCAGACAAAGTGCCGGAAATTAGCCGATTATCCCAAGCACGCAATAAGACTCGTGCAGAAAAGAGCCGGAAAACCCTAAGCAAACGGCACAATTTTGGAAAATGTACGGAAATCAAATTTCCGAAAACAGTTTCAATGAAAGAAAAATTCATTCAAATGCTGGAGGAAACGTGTGTGAGCGATTTTCCTGATTGTCGCAAGGATAATTCAGTTAAAAGAGGTCGAGCCACGCCACTTTCCAAGCTGGAATAACAAAAACTCAACACAATTTAGCAATTCTCACATTAGAAATGAACATTGAGGAGTACCATGCTATTTCCGAATCCAAAACCGCCGACAACTAAGGACGAGTACATTCACTACCTCTGGAGGGTCACACAGAGGAGTCCTCCGAAAGCACTATAACTATATCTAAAACTTCAACTCAGGCCAAGAACACAATCATACGAGTATAGTGAGTCCACAACAGATAAATGGAGAAGCAGAGAACAGAGAACAGAGAGGAAGGAAATAAAGAAAACAAAAGTAAGTAGTGCAGCACACATCGAACCATCGCCATTTACTCATACAAATTGCCTGGCGTCACGTCCCGAGCGACTGAAACGCCCCCCGGCCCCGCCGTAGCCACCGCCGCCTCCTATGGTTGGGCTGCGCAGGTAGCGGTAGCTGGGCAGGAATCCGGAGCGGTACACGGCACCAATGTGGCGCTTCTGCGGTGCTGGCAACTGCTCCTCGGGCTGCAACTCCGCCTCCTCGACGACAGCGACTGCGGCATTGGCATCGTTACCATGCTCGATGCCGAACAACTCGGGATCCTTGGAGGTGTCTTTTGTGTAATAAAATAATTATATGTAAACGAATGTACAGAACTGTGCTAAAAAGGTGCCGCATAGCCGCTAGCTAAGGTGCAGGTGCTGAGTTAAGTTGTTCAAATGAAGTTCGTGTCCGGGAATCAAAAACATATCCTCGGCCAGCCGAAGATTGTGCAGTCTTGCGGGGATGAGCGGCTGAACTCATCGCGCTCCTCCAGCTTGCTGGCATAGAATACTTACCTAAGAAACGCTTCTCCGCCCGACGATAATCGTTCCAGTCCAGATCGGCATAGCCAGCATAACTGGGGTACCACCAGTAGCTCTGCATTGGATCGGCATAGTCGGGAGCGGCGGCGGGAAGGAGCATCTCCTCGTCCTCGCGCTTCTGCTGGACTCCGTGCACTGGGGAGGATTTTAGGGCGCCCAGGTTTCTCTTCTCGGCGCTGGCCCGTTGATTATGATGCTGCTGAGAGTTGTATCTAGCAACGGCGGCCACATTCCGCTTGGGTTGCTCGCGGTGCGTGGAGGGAGCACTTTGCAGCCGGGCCAGGGTGGCCAGGTTGCGCTTTCCGTTTGGCATCGGGAGCTGGAAGTCGCGAGCCAAGGTGCCCACATTTCGCTTGCCGTAGGTCATCAGCCCACCGGCTCTGGCCAGCGAGCCGATGTACCGCTTCTGCTCACTCGGTTCGCCAGAGTCCGCATCGGCATAGTCCTCACCCGGCTCTGCGGTGGGCAGCTGTCCGTTCTTGGCCAGGGTGGCGAGACTCCTCTTCGGGGCATTTAAAAGCCCCTGGGCAGCCAAGGCGGCCACCGAGCGCTTGTCCTCCTCCACATAGTCGGAGTACTCACCCAGCGGTTGCTCTTCGCCCACGGCCAGCTGGCGTTCACGGAGTAAGTTCTTCAACTGATTGCGCAAGGCAGAGGCCTAAGGACAAAGACATTTTTGGAATGGAGGAAAGGCAAAAAGCAATTTAAATTCAAAGCTCGGGCAGATGTTGCCCTCCAACATCGGCGGAAGAAATAAATCCTTTCACGTCTGGGATAAATACGGATGCTGCAGCAGCAGGTGACTTACGTGTAGCTGGTACTCAGGACTTGGGTTCATCAGTTGATTTATAATGGACTCCATCTCGCAGGGCGACACATTGGCAACATCCTCGGTGGCGCTCACGGTGAAGGAGCGTGGCTGGATGCCCTGAAAGTTGAAGGAAGAGTACGGACCGATGTAAGAAAGCCGGAAGGGATATATTTCAATAATGCTCCGGATCAATAATCTATTTTTTTTGCATTAAGCCATTCTCCCGGAGAGCTCATGCTGAAGAAACCAGCTTCTCAAAGGGAAATGTCTCTGTTCATTGTCTTCCACTTAATTGCCGCAATCATTTACACTAAATTGAGTTTGAAATGTGTTGACACTTAGCGCTTTTTCGCTACTTCGCCGCTTCAAAGTTTTCTCCCATCGAACCCACGTATTTTTGGGGCTTCTAAGGTCATAAATTTTCCGATTTATCCTCGAAATGCTCGTCCATGAACTTATTTACTTAGTTACTTTATTGTTGCCTACTTATGGGAGTCCATTAGGATATTGAAGTGTGTTCCACAGAGGCAGCAATAGAGCACTCACTAGTTCCAAGCGAATGGCCAGCAACACGTTTGAGGAGCCCCTCGTTTCTGGAGCCCCTCGTTTGGGGAGCCCCTCGTCGATTTTCATACCTTTCAAGTTAACGTCAAAGTAGTGTTTAACAAGAAAACAGGCAACAGAATTAAGTCCTTACGGTACAGTATGGTGTGAATGGGTGTATGTGTGTAGCCGGGCAACCAGAATACTAAGCCGAACTCATAATATTTAGCTTTCAGCGTACACAATGACAGTGGCAGACAGGTCGAAGCAGTGTGCTCAACCGAAAGGATGATTCCAGTCCCAGGAACTCTGAGCTCGTGGTTGTCTCGGGAGTATGAGAACATGTGTGCTCAGATGCTTTCCTTCCGTACCAACATCTGAGCGCCTAGGGGGCCAGGAGACAATGCTTCCGCTTTTAATAACTGGCCTGCAGAGAGAGAATGGAACAAATGGCGAAAGGAAGAGCGCTCAGGATGTGTCGCAGGACGTGCTGGCTGGAGCTTGTAAATCTCGCATAGAAATTGACAATCTCTTGGTTGCTCCATACCAGAGTGACTTTCTGCCTTATTAGCACATAAAATAACAACCCAAAGGTGTTTGCCAAGTCAACTGCTCCTTGAATGAACTTGTATTGGCTTCACATATCGTAGCTCTCATGCCTCAGATGGCGTACCCCCATATTGTTTTTGACCATAAATCTGGCTCATAAACAACATTCCGTTTAATAACAATGCTAAAAATGGTGAAAAATGTTATTTGTTTTGGGGAATCGGAGCAAGTAAACAAAAGCTTATCAATTACAATGAAACAGTTTACTCATGTTTCCGCTTGCCTGTAAAGTATATACATTATTTTGAAATACCACCCCATGACGTACTCAGAGTGATATTAAATTATGCCACTGAGGCTTTAAGAATTTGTTGTCCGAAAACGGAGCTCTTGTCACCAGCATTTCCTAAACAAACAGGCAAAAAAACGTTAAATGCTGGGGCGGATGTTCTGGTGCTGCGTGGGCGGAGGCCTGTGACTATGACTAGGAGCCGCATAGACGAGCTTTTCATTCAGAAAGCAGCAGCAGCAGCAGCCTTGTATGTTGCGCAACAATTTGTGCGGTTGCTTTCCCATTACGCTAATTTTTCATCACGGATTTTAGGGTCCGAGGAAAAGCTTAAAATATTTGAAATTTATGGACTATTAAAATTATGAAACTTCGCTGTACATTCTGTTTATAACTTATCACTTCTTCTGGAAACTGTGCACATTCTACGGAAATTTAAGGGATTCCCTGACCATTGTAAGCCTTAATTAAAATACCTTTTGCCACGGCCCAGAGAGCACTCAGCACTTTTGTAGTTAATATCTGCGTCTGACAACAAAACACTCGTTCGGCCGAGAATGCGGTAAATGAAATTACAGCCGTAACACGGCCGCAATTAAAAGTGAGTCCAATTAAAGTTTAAGCCCACCCAGAACGGAAAAAAATCAATAAGCAAATAAAAGGAACCTAATTAAACTTTCCCTGCGTTCATTTCAGTGGACAGATGCGTCAGGACACTGGCAATAATCCAGATGGCCATGGAATCGGATTCGGATCTTGACTGGCTAATTGGGAGTGAAATTATGCAGCATACGTATGGCCAGTAGCCGATAGGATGGGACAAAGTCCTATCCTCCTGCTTCATCCTCCTTGTGCCTCGGGCCACCAGCAACCGATGATTCTGTCTCTGCTTGGTCGTTGAGCTGCTAACGTCGCCTGAGCTCGCCGCAAGCAAATTTTATTATCGCAGACGGTTGGCCTCGCCCTCTCCCCTCATCGAGAGGATACTTTCCCTACGGCTACAAGGCAATTTAATGGCGCACATTGTTGCTTTTTCCCGTAACTTAAGTAAATACTCTCAGCACAATATTAAAACTTTAGTGCTTGACCTTACCCGGGCGGGAATTCGGAATGTCTGAGATCTGAAGACAAGGCATCTTATGTCGTTGGTATGCACGGCGCGGAAGGTGAGTCGGGAAAAGGTACCAAATTTCAGCTATAATACTTTACAAAGTAACTTCAAGGGATCCCGGGAGGCAAAGCAGGAATTTTCCTCTTACGCAACAGCAGGAATTTACAGGGAATGTGCATTAATTTGTTAAGTTGCATCAATCCAAGTGCCAGCCTTTAGTTCCAAGCCTGCTGTTGGATCCCATCTACATGTTCTTGGTCATTACACTAAAGCTTCATAGCCCATAACGGCCAACTGGCATTCAGATTCAAATGTGTCCATTGCAGATTTCCGGTTAAAATGCCTCTATTAAGTGTAATTGTCCATGTACGCAATGAAAGCCATGTGTAACTTAATTTTTTGTACACCTCTTTGTGGGCAAGATTACCAGGCATAGGGGTTGGAGGAGGTGCAGCAATCGCTTAATGTTTATTACTTCAGAATTACTGACACTCGAGTAAAGTTAGTCGAAGCCCACCATATATACTAGGAATAAGCTCTTTTTAGGAACTTAAGACAACCAGAAATGGTACATTTCCAAAGCACTTTAAAATGCAAACCGCATAGACAGTAAATTTGGTAAGCAGCTTTTAAAAGTATCTTCTCATCAAGCATGTAAACAGCATAACTTTTTCGATACATCATAGAAATTGTTGATATCCTTGCCATGGATATTCCCAGCTACATACACTCCTTCCCTCTCATTTATGGTAATGTATACACAAAAAGAGCGAGCAGAAGGGGAAGGCAAACAAGTGAACAGAACAGAACCAGCGAGGGGTAATGGCATACAGCCCCGCTTTTATGCGTGGGACTGGGAATTGATTACCATTGTGCCCGCGTTGAAATCAATTTGACTTGCTGGCATTTAAATGAAAATGTACGCTCACAACTGGCGTATCAATGGAAACAAGGCACACGTCATTGATATATATCTGAATTATGCTCGTGTTCATACTTTCTTATTTGCATATAACTCGAACTCGCTTATTGGCTGTATCTTCGACATAATAAATTCCGCATCTTTATCGTATCTGCTCAGGAATCCAAACAAAGATGTGTTTAAAAAGATCAGATTTTCAAGATATGGAACCTCATTTAGCAAAGAAAAAGATAAGTATGTTTAAGACAAACTTATTTACTTAATCAATGTCCAAGGCGAAAAGTTTTCAGACGTTTGTGAAACAATTCTCGACCTCAACCAATGGTCCCAAAAATTGTCCAAAAAGGCCCTGGCCATGGCCATGATAATTGGACTTCAAACTTTGCTTAAGGAAACTAATATTTACATTTTATCCCATTCAAATTGTTACGGTGCGTATACGCGATATTCTGTCTGGCACGAAAATACATATATTAAATTCAGTTTCTCGCGAGGATTATTTATTGATGGTCGGTAAAATTTTGTAGTGACCTTGATTTGTAGATCCCAAAACATTGCTTAAGGAAACTAATATTTACATTGTATCCCATTCAAATTGCTGCGGTGCGTATACGTGATATTTTGTATGTATTTTACATTTAAAGCAGCTACATTTGAGGAGTATTTATTGTTGTTCCCTAAATTTTTTCAAAAAGGCCCTGACCATGGCCGTGATTGTTGGATCCCAAAACTTTGCTCAAGGAAACTAATACTTACATTTTATCCCATTCAAATTTTAGCGGTGCGTATACGTGATATTCTGTCTGGTACGAATATACATGTATTTTACATATAAAGCAGCTACTTGCGCGGGTATTTATTGATCTCTGGCTCATTTAACAGCTCTGACAATGACGAGCCTTATCTCGGATGCTGCCAGCAAGATGCAAACTCACGCTTTAGTGCCACTCCATCCATTTCGCTTCGATTGTTTGCTCCGTCATTCCGCCTTTGAAAGCTGACTCACTATATTGCACTATTTCGTCGCCAAACAGAGCTACGATTGTAAAGTTACAACAAATACGCCCCACAATACGACATGCCAGTTGTCACTCTGCCGATGCAGCTTCCTATGACGTTGCACTAATATCCTTACAGCCATGTCAAAGGAAGAGCAGTTGGAACTGCAGGAAATTAGGTCGATTCAATCAGTTGTTCAATTGGACAGAATTAAAGACTTTTCAGATCCCTCAAGTCAAGGGACATTTCGTTTATGTAATTCCTTAACCTCACAGTCAAGTTGAATGCAAATTTCTATGCATATTTTTGTCCTCTCAAAGTAACCATTGTGCGGTTTCTTATTTTAAGGATTATTACTACTTTTTACTCCGACCGCAATTTCCGTAATTTCTTTGTGACGTTGAAAGCAGATTAGAATCTGCGAAACGTGAGACTTTCTCAACTTCTAAAATCTTTGTTTTACAATGTTTGCTAAAGCTTGTTCAACTTTTAATTAATTCTTGCCGCAAATTTAATAGGGGAGTGGGTAAAAAATGCTTCTGCTGAGCATATGAAATCACAATTTGACAAAGTGGTTTTAGTGCGCCGGCCGACAGCTATGATGAACAGCTGTCAGGGGAGTGAAAGGTGCACGAATATGTGAAAATGTCAGCGAATGTCAGAAGGGACAATAGAAGAGTCAAAAAAAAAGGGAAACAAGAGTGGAAAATAAGTGAAAAACGAGCTGAAAACTGCACTTTTCCCCCATGTGCTATCATCCTTTTTTGAACTGGTCAGCTTTTGCCTGATGATGTTGCAACCGCAGCGCAACTGTTGCAGCAGTAAGTCAGCCGCAGAATGGGCGTGGCTGCCCAAGCGTGGGCTTTTGAAAAATGAAGGATAATTTAGCGGCAGCTGGCGACAATTTCGTACTTTGTGACAACATAATTTATGGTGAGTAAAGGACGAGACACTCTATGCAATTGCTGGAGCAATAGATTTACACTGACGGTGACTTCAAGTCAACGTCTATTATTATCTTTTTTAAATTGCGGAAATCTTCTTAGCTCTGCCGCAGGACTTTATTCCGTTTTCAATTCTATTCCTCGGGACCTCACTCACAACCGAATTTCACCGAATTCATGCACCGTCGCACATGTTAAGGCATAAAAAGATAAATTTAGGTGCAGGCAGCGGACTGGAATCGGGCAATCGTTCCGAAGCAAGCACCAGCACACAAAGAACGAATGCTGCTGATGGCGCTGGAAAATTTTCAAAATTGAAAAATATAATCCCCGGACTTACCGCATTGAGCAGCATCGCGAGCAACAGCATTAGCCGCTTGCTGCTGAGCGCAGATTTGTGCACGGCCTGCATGGTTGACGAGGACGTGGGTGGAAGGCCTCCTTGTAGCTAATCAACTGCAAAGTCCCTGGTAATTGAGTTTACCCCTTGCTGCTCCCTCAGCTGTGAAACGCGGCTACAAGATCGACACAAATCAGCGGCTCCGCAACCGAAAGTATGCAACGGATGATTCAAACTGTAACGGAAACGCCAACGCGACGCGAATGTGTCTCCCAGAGAGCTTTGCCCGGAAACGTTACCACGAAGTCGTGTGCTCGACTGCTTACCACCAGCCAGGAGACCCGACTTTTTATACCCGGAGCGGCCTCACGGTTAAGCTCTCTCTCGGGACCGAAGCGGATACCTCAGCCGAGCGAGCTCGGGTAACGACCAATGGCCATGTGTCAACTGTTGCTCTTGCGGGCGGCATACTTTCAGGCTCTCTGTTGCGCGTGGAGTGTCCTGTTTTTTCAGGCCGCTTATGTAGGTGATGACGTCATAGCGGTTGCAGGACACGGCCACTATAACTAGTTGGCAGGCCAATATGGATTCAGGCCAAGTGGCCGCAAGCGCACAGTGGCTGCTCTCTTTGGAAATAAATATATTTCTTTTCATTTGGCATTCCTGTGAAGTGTGTTGGAAATTATGGTTTAAAAATAAATATTTAAATTCCAAAATTAATTGGAAGAGAATAATATTTAGATTTTATATACAAAACAGACATCTTAAATAATTAAAAATATACTCACCTTTGTACTTTGTTTCCTAAAGCCTTTTTTTATCAAAGCATTTAGCAATGTTTCTCTTATAATTCCAGTTTATGAAGCACTGAGCCCACTGTTCAAAACTCTCTTAGGGACTAATCAAAGAGAGTCTGGTTTCAGCTCTGCTGCGCTCTTCGCCATATGCCGCCGCTCTCAGCGGAGCTGTTAGCCAGGCGAACCGGAGACGGAAATGCGAGTTGCTCATACGCACTGTGGCCACTAAGGCAGGAGCGAAGGAGGCGTTGGGGGCATAATAAACTTGAAAAATTTTGAAATATGCGACACTTGATATTTTTACTGGCAACAGTACAGAAGGGCAGAGCTGTTTTCAATTAAATTTCCTGTCGCCTGATGAATTTGGAAAAGATATAATTTTGCAAAACGAATGCAAAATGCACGAATAGAACTTAAATATACTTTATTTGAAGTGAACTACAATGGTAACATTTAAAATCCCGCTTATATTGGCTCTCGGTGTCAGCGAATGTCCCAAAAATAATAAATAACCAAATAGACGGGAGGGTGGCTCGAAGTTGAACCCACCCGTCGAGCGAGGCGACCGCCGACGGTCGACTGCCGGTGTAAGCTAAATTTATGCAAATTCCGAGCACCGAGAACTGGAAATTATGAAGCGTAAAGGCTAAACGTAACCACCACACGCAAACAGATCCGCTAATGCAGCAGGAGCAATGCACAAAAAACGCAGAGGCGGCTGCCGCCATATCATATGCCTACGTCAGTGGACCCTGCCGAGCAGGGTGTGGGGTTGACCCACGTCACGCTTCAATGCAGGAGGAGTGCGGATGTGGAGGACGGACGGCAGATTGCACGCCGATATAGACGGCAAATACCTGTCGGCATGCTGCATCGGAAAGGGTTGCAGCAGTTGCCCATGCATAAAATTCTGGTCAGCAGACCAGAGCAACAGTCGAGGATGAGATGGTGAAGGTGAAAGGCCTTTCCTAAGGGAAACTGCATGCCATATTTATGATGATTTTTGTAACCCGCCTCGGGCCCGAAAGGTGCTAAATCATTCAATAATCGCATGGTGATATTGGCCACATTTAATATTCATATTACACTCGAACCCCTACGACACAACACATTCGGTCTAATATCGATGGATTATAGCGGGCCTTTGAATATATATATATATTTCCAAAATTCAGTGCAAATTATTTAAAATTTTAATTATTTATGCCATTAAAATCGGAATACTGTATGGTACATCTGCCATTGACGTTACCTGTAAAAAAATTTATAAAGATAATGGAACTTTCTTTAGGTATCCGCTTTAAATATATCGCAAACTGAACAACAATGTCAGGCTAAGAGCTTCATTGCGAAACCACTTTTTGTGTTTTTGTTTTTTTCAAAACCGCCTTGGGGTCTGCGGCCCAGTAGCGCAGAACGGCAGAGGAATTCATGTGTACCAAATCTGGGCATATATTTCATTAGCACAGCGGTTCGACGTATCATGCTTTGCATTTTAATCGGCAGTCCGGCAGACTGCCTGGCATTTTCATATGCTAATTGGTTATTTAAATGACGAGACATAACAAAATAACAAAAATCAAATAAGAATACAAATAACATGGCCACCACTGGCTAATTATCAGATGTTTAAACTTAAAACCAGTCAGCGAGTGATCCAACCCGACTCTTGAACAGGATGGGAACTGGCTTTCTTGATTTATTTCTTTTTATTTTATTTATTTTCACCCGCCATGTGTGTGTAACTGTCACCTCGCTAGGTACATTAAATAAAAGGTAAGCGCAGGTGTCACTCGTAGAGCAAATTTGGTTGTAAAGGTTTTTGTGCCTAGAATACATCATGAGATTGATTGAACTTCAGTTCGAAGCCCCACTGAGCTGCACGTTTGATTGTTAAGATTCATAAATTGGTCGTTAAATGATTGTGGACTACAAATTAAAAACTATTTAGGATTTAAAATAGAAAGGGAAAAAAGCTTCCCCAACCATCGCTAGGTTTGGGGTAATAACTAATACATATAATACAATTTTGGCAACTAATAAAAACCAATTGAGTTGTTTGTCATTTTATAATTTACAAGCTTTATTTTTATTTTTTATACGAAATGGGAAGGAGATTCATTGCTCATTCGAAGTTATTTAATTCAAATTGTAGCCAATTGGATCAAGAATCGGCTAAAAACAAAAGAGCACACAAAGCAAATTATATTTAAATTCAAGGGGTTTCTAATTTACATATTTGGAGTGTTTCACTTACACAATATCATACATATACTCGTACTTATGTTTTACATAGGTTTACATTTTAGACATATACAATACATCGTATTATAGAGCGCGATTTATAATATCACCCCTAAAACAATGGTCAATTCAATTTTAGTACCTTTTCTACTTGTTACGAATTAAGGCTCTTATGAACTAGCAAAATGAGAAGCCATTCGAAATCATAGAACATTAATTCCTGTATTGCAAATGATAAGTTTTTAAAATATTTCTACACGAATGCAGTATACATATATATATATATACTTGTTTCTTTAACTTTTACTTTTGATTCATTTCCGTTCGTGAGGGATTCTTTTTAGGAATGTATTACGTTTATCTTCTTGATCGTTCCTTTTTCTTTCGCTAACTGCATGTGTATAATAGAAGAAGCCTGGGGACAAGTATAAAAATATCAACTTTTGCTTTCCGCTCTCACGCCAAAATCTTCCCAGTTCTAGGGGTTACTATTTCCTATATGCCTTTCTTTCCTCGCTCTGCCTATCTGCGCTTCTTTTCACTTTTTTTTTGCTCTCAAGACGGGTACAACAGGTACAACAACAACAATTAAACGCTATGCTAAGCCCGGAGCTCGATCGCATCTACAGACTCAGAAGAACCGACAGAAATAGCGTCATGAAAGCCGTGCCAGCAGCGGTGATCGAGTCTGCTGCATTCACCCCAAATCCTGCCAGCGCCACGTCCTTTCCGGGATTCGAGGACATGTTCTCGGGCGCCTCGTGCGAGTTGACTTCGTTGCTGGAGGGAGAGTCGTGCAGGGTCTTTTCCAACGTATCGGGACCGGAGTGCTGCACTCCCTGATCCTTCATATGCACCAGCGGTGGCTCGTGGATGGGCGTGGGCTCGTTGGTGCTGGTCGTGGTGGCGTGTGTCGTTGTCGATGTGGATGTTGTCGTTGTTGTTGTCGTTGTTGGCACAAGAGTTCCATTTTCAATCCAGTAGACGGGACTGAACTCCAGCTTCACGTCCTTCAAGTAGCTCTTGCTGACCTGATAAATAGTGAAAATACGTTAAAACTTGACTCGACTAGAGGACTAAGTATTTGCCTCAGCGCTGATCTTCCGGGAAACACTCTCGTCGCTGCCGTAGTAGAACGCAAAGAGCTTGCCACTGTACGGCGCCTCCAGGGTCACATAGTTGCCGCGTAGGGTAACATTGATAGCAGTGCCGGGCCAAAGTTTCGTATGAACCGCCTTGTTCTCCGATCGTTTCTCGCCGTGCTTAAGTCCCCAGTTGATTTCAGCTGGGATGGGTACATCTTTTTCGAAGATTTTAGTGGGCAGACCCCGGGCCACGCCCTCGTGATTTCCCCAATTCTGTTTGTAGTCAAAGCTGTAGCTTAGAACGGTCTCCACGGTGCTGTACTTGTCTCCCAGATTTTCCAGCCTCCTGGTGGCTGTAGAAGAAATGTAATCTCAATTAATTTGCTCACATCACAACAGAGTCCAAGACTTACCCAGTTCCGTGAGATTCTCTCGTCTTTCGGTCCGTAAGCGGTCCAGCTTAATATCCCTCAGTTCGTAGCGAAAGGGCTCTGTCTCGACGAGAACTTCGCCATCGACGTAGTATTTTTCGCGCTCATTCTCAATTACCCGGATTTTTCCGAGGCCCTCGGGTTCCAAGTGACCCAGGTTAAAGTCCGCTCCCCAGTGTGTGATGATGCCATCCTTATTCGGCTCATGCGAGGCCCTGTGGCGTCCGATGTAGGAGTCGTCTCCAATGCGGATCGCGCCCACCGGCACTCCGGCATCAAACTTTCGCCAATGGCGCCAGCCAACCTTTCCCAAGTGTCCTTTGTTCATGAGTACGTCGAAGTTGTCATACTTGCCGTGCTTGTAGTGGGCCGCTACACAGACATGCCTCTGCATGATCTTCTCGGTGTGGCCGGAGACCTGGAAGCCATCGATGGGCACACGGCACACGTAGATGGGATAATGCTCATCCTCGGTGATGTACTTTCCGCCCTCCACGGCAAACTGTAACTGCGTGGTGTCCTTGGGGTCGTAGCTTTCCCAGACCAGTGTGCTCGAAGTAACCAGCTGGCCCAGGGACGAGGAGGCGTTCTTGTGGGTGAACACAGAGTGCACGGCAGCGTGCGCGGGAGCCAGTGCCTGGATGAGGACCAAGAGGCAGCTGAAGCCGATTAAACGACTAGAAGAGCCCATTCTGCTGATTGTACTTCGATGTAGTGGGAACGGGACTCTCGTCATTCCACTAGGTGCCTAGATGAGGTGGGAATAGATCTGCAAAATAAAACAGAGAGAAGGAATTACTTTGGTATATTGCCTTGCCCACTTGACAAAGTGTAAATCCGGAAATTAAGCTGCCGCTTTGCACAAAAAGTTCTCTAAGTGACTTTGAACTAACTTCCCCGCAGCAATACAAACCGTCTGTCTCCAAAATATCCTTCCCCACCCGAATGAGCTGTACCAGCCAGACATGACGGAAGTTCACATGGTCGCCTCTCGAGTCTTTACCCCGGGCGTCCCATTAAAAGCTTAAAGTGCTATAAACAATCTGTTGTTTTTCCTCGGACAAGTGGGCGAGTCTGCGCCAAACAGCTTTTCCGGCTCCGGTGTAAACTCGACTCTCCACCGTCCCCAGTCATTATCATTATAGCATCAATGTCGCCGACACCATCACACAGACCTGTCCTCGATCCTAGGGTAGGGGCATGGGCATGGACACGCTGTTCGTCTGTATGCTATTCCCTCGAGAGGAGAGTGTTCCCAATAAATTTGTCGCTTGTTTGCTCAACTTTCGTGCGGACACACGGCGTATACGTAACTTTATAACTTCATTTTTGGAAGGCGCAGGAGGGACGGGACACAAAGGCTCGGTGCAGCGACGGACGCCATGTTTATTCATTAGCAAGCATTGTGAACAGGACACCGCATGCAGGACATGCGGCTAGAAGTACAAACAACTACAACAGCCGTACGTCGGCAGTGTCTTCGTCTACGCCATGCTCCATTGTGTCGCACTCTGTAAGCTCTCCCGGCGCCCCCAGCTTTCCCCGAGGTGATTCGCCTGACCCTAGGTGTCCGGCATTCAAGTCACTGTGTCTGCAACGGATATGAGATGATAAGGTTACATGCAACATCATTTGTTTGCCCTGACAAATGATGTGTTATTGTGATAGTGTTTCAAAGGCAAAGAGCCCGGGCGAAGTTGCGACAAGCGACGGACGACCAACCGTTGGCCGGGGCCAAGTAACTTTCGAGTGTCAGGAGTTTAAGTGCCGCGAGTCAAAATTTAAATAATGCATGAGAGCAGCAGCTCTGGAGCTGTGGAAGGAGGGGCATTGGCAGCTAGCTTATGGCTTTGTGCTCGCGCGGTTCTTTCGCTCCGACGACTCTTGAGTAATGGACCAGGTTGCTAACATTGACACTGAGGCATTATTCCGGCCAGGGCATCTTAGCATTACAAGATTACAAGAGTTCTTCAGATCTTGAGCGAGTCTTTTGAAACCCTGCACTATTCTTAACGAGCTGGTATTCGTTCCTTCCGGATGAACTTGGGGAGTAGCCAGTTTAGCTATTCTGCGGTGACGCACAGCTCTTGCCACTTGAGTCGGCATCGAGGAATGGCTCTTTGCATTCCACCGCCCAATGCCGGAAGCAACTGTCATAAAAACACTGCCCCGCCGGGAACGGAGGAGGGAGCAGTTTATGGAGATCCACATTACGAGGCATAAATTGACCTCTGGTCACCCAGCGACCGACCGCATTGCTGGCCCGTTTTTGCGCATGCAATAAATATTCTAAAAATAGCCGGACGAAGACCCGGCAAATTGGCGAAGGCAAAGGCAGCGGCGGCGGATAAATATTTTATTTAAGGCCCAACATAGTTGCAGCTCCTTCCCTGCACCCTGCATTAATTCAATTGAGCTCTTTGCCAGCGGAATCTGATCCAGCCGGAGGAGAGTCGAGGAGGAAGAGATAGAGCGAGAGCGAGAGCCGGTGAAAGTTCACGTGGCCTTTTATTAAATCACATGGCTTGCAACTTTGTCTTGGGCTTTCTAGTTTTCAGTTGCCTCTGCAGGTTGCAGGTTTATTTAGATTTACGAGCAGCAGGGCTGGCGAAAGGTCTGCGGGTTTTGTGGCGCTTTAATTGGATTTTATTGAACTTTGACTCTGACCCTCATGGTCACGAGAGTTGCAACAAGTTGTTGCCCCTCCGCTGCTCATGCTCGCATGCCCATGTGCAACGCGAGGTTGCACACAATTGCTTCAGCTGCCAGTGCCTATGAATTATATGAATTATAGTTACTGTACCAAGCCAGGCCACTCCCATTCCCATATATTCATATTCTCATTCTCAACCCCATTATGAGGGCCCGGACCCGCGCTTCAATCAGCTCAATTGGGCACCACCGTGCTTTTTGACTTTGACATTACAATGATCCGGCGTTCGGCCGTTTCAACACTTGATTTCTCACATCGCCGCCAACTTTGAATTATCGTCAGTCAAGTGTCGAGGGTTCAGTGCACTCGCCTTGAAATACTTGTAAACAGAAATTAATTAGAAAACCATTAAAAAGCCGTAATGGCCTGCAAACTTTTCCCGGCAAACGCCGGTACGTGATGCTGTCTCGAAATGAGCATGGGAATGCAGCCGAAATAAATGAATAACAGCTAACCCCATTCTTTGAGTTAGGGGTCAGGAAAATTCAATTACTTGCGGGACATTAAAGTTTCATTTTTTCACAATCTAGGCAATAAATCAGAGCTTTCCGTAAGGCTCTTGAAGTGCAATTGTCTTGCGGTTCATGGGTCGGCTGTGAAAGAATTGGAGTGACCTAAAATCTCGCTCATTCAGTACTGGAATTTACAGACTAATAGAGACAACATAAGCTTACAAAATCAATTCACATTAATTAAGCAATTATCCACAAATCGGAGATAGCTACTGATGCATTCGAAGCCATGTATACTGTATCTTATACAACTACCCAGTACACTCTCTTTCTGTTGGTCTAATTAAAAGCTGATTGAATAATGGTATTACTCCACATCGGTAAATATTTGCAGCTTGCAAGCCGGGGAAAATATGTACGTCCGCAATTTCGCCTGGAGTTATTTCACCTCAATTGGAGCTTTTCCATTTCCCTGGAGACTTAATTGATAGTTCGGCTTGCGTGCAGCTCTTTCTGGCATTTCCCACTCGCTGACTGACTGACTGACTGACCCGTCCGGCAGGGAAGCTCTAATCAATACTGAAATCTGATCGCTTACTTCTCGCTTATAATTGCTTATTGGGGTTTTAATTTGCAAGCGATCTGGCATATGGCAGCAGGTGACGCCGAGTCAGTGTTCCTCCCACGCAGCGCCATCGGCTGTTCGTGCTACCTGTCCGAGCTCAGTGCTGAGTCCAAGCCAAGCACGACTCAACACATCCAAGCCAGCTGGCTTTTGGCAGTGTCGGTCTTTTTGGTGTCCGAAAAGCAACAAACGAGACTGACTGAGGGAAATTACTAAGCGGCTGCATTACAAAATCAGTTGTTAACTTAATTAAAGATCCCGGCCAGCCACAAGTAAGCAGAGCTAAGCGACCGCTCTAGAGAACACGTGCCCCGTCAGGGTATGGCCTACGGGGCTCCTAGTCAGTGATTACGGGACCATTGAGGGAATTATGTATTCACAAAATATTGTTATTTCTTGAAAAATATATTTATTCTTAAATGGACTACGTAATCCCCCCGTTCTCCCCTAAGGGACGGGTCGATTAACGCGTGATTTCTGAAATATTTCATACGTTGACTACACAGAATAATTCCACGGACGATGTTTAAGCAGCTGCGTATGACGCAAACCCTGCCCAAAGTTTTCACACCCCAGCCCCAGGCCAAACCCAGTCCCCAAGCAAGCGACCATTTGGCCATTTGCATGTTGCATCAATTAGGGCGTCTGGAGCAGGCCAGCTACCGAGTTGAGACCGGCTGGTGAGGCCATTAAATCGAATGCAGTCGGCACGGGAGGCACGTGACAATGGACAGCACAGGTAGAGGCAGTTGTGCCCCATCTCCGAGCTGGACAGAGCAGAGCCCTTCGTCGGCTCGAATTTACAATGTTTGCAAAGCGTTTCCACTACACTCAATTAATTTAATGGACAAATCGATCGATCCACTCGATAGGCTACCAGGTAGAGGGTGTTGTTCCCTCGCCCAGCCACTAATTACCACCTGACGGAGACTGAGCGACTGTCCAAAGTGTTATTGTTTCCCATAATGCTGGGAAACTGGGCTCAAGTCGAGGCTAGAAACTGGTCGATTATACAATATTAAACTGGTTTTCGTTTGATCAAACCCTGCTTTCAATTGGGTTTCAGAAGTTATCAAGTTTTTAGTATTCGAGATGCAAATTTCGAGCTCATAAATTTTCATTTAAAAATTAAACCAGTTTTAATATTTAAAAAATAAACAAATGTTGAAATATCGAAAATACGCATACTAAATGGGCTAAAAATGCATGAGAAAATTAGGGAAATATTTAATAAAATCGAAATTAGGCAAACGAATGAGAGGCTAATTAATTAATTCGTAATGCTTAATAAATTTGTCATTAGTTTTAATTTAGAGCTCTCTGAGTGGCGGCATTCAAGGCAATTGAAGCGTGAAAAATGTTTAAAAAACGCATAATTGATCAAAATCCATTCATTATTTCTTCTGTAAAATAAACTTGTAAAATCGAAGTCTTGTCCCAATTAAATCTGTTGCAATGTTTAATGTAACGTTGGGAATGGTCCTACTATGTGGACATAAATTTCGTTGATGGACACTTCAGATATATGGCATCATATCGAGGACCGAACCGAATGGAAAACCAATCCCCGCACAAGGCTAGGCCAAAGGAGAGGGCCTCATCTGACAGTAATTCGTTATAATTGGTTTTTAATTATGCACGAAGCGGCGACCCAAGTAAAGGTACTAGATAAAAGCCACTTGAAGCTCTTGAAGGCAAACTAATTGAATTCAATAATTTAATGCGCAATGCTCCGCCATGGGCTCCGCACTCCAATCTCCAGGCAAAGCAATTTCGGCTCTCTGGTTAGTTGAATTTTAGATTCTTTGCCGCTCGCTTCCCTCCCTGTGCTGGCGGTGAAAACATTGACCCCACTTTGGATTGCGCAGTTTCCCCGATTGGTCATGGGCCGTTTGAGAACAGACCACATGTGCTCCGGGCGCTTGGAGCTACGTCATCGTCGCAGCACTATAGAAACAGACCAGAGCAAAAAAACAGTTCAAAACCGGTACTGCTGAGCGTTCTATAAGCCAGCCAGCTAGCCAGCCACGTGCTGATCCCAAATTGTTACCGCCAAAAAATCCAAAAGCTATGAAGTGAAAACTCAGCTTGAACTGGTTTTGCAACTTGGGCGAAGCTGGGGATTCTTCTGCCAAGTGATTTGATCTGATTGATCTTGGGCTCTGTATTCAAATAATCTCTCCCGAGTCTGGTGTCTATGTAAATCACAGCCCATTAAATATGATGAATATCAAGGTCGCTTGTGGGGCCGTTCTGTTCGCTTTTCGATTTATCTTCATGGCGTCATTTTGCCGGCTTTCAAGCACTATACGAGTGTCCAACTACAGTTTTTTGCCCGCTCCTAGGCTGGAATAAATACAGCATCTGTCAGCATTTGTTCATAAATCGAGTTTGGGGACTAGAAACTGAGCCAAAGAATGTAATTACCGCACACAATGTATCTCCAAATTGTGTATTCGAGTATTGTTCTTCCACCAGCAGTATGAGCTGCGTGAGCGGGGCTTATCTGTATCTATTGTTGAGCACGACAGCCAGTCAGGCAGCTAGCTTTGGCGCAGACCAGGCCTTTGCCGGCACTTTTTGCTCATGGCAGCTGCCGTTTATTTTGCAATTTGGTTAATTAATTATTAAAATGGGGCTAGATATGGAATATGTTGAGTACTAGTTGTACATCTAGCCGGGAAACTTGTTTTACTGCCGACCCCTTGTGTAAATGTAAATGTTTTCTCACGTATCAGTGCCCACCGCACTACATCTTCTCCAGCTCCCATCACAGATTTTCGCTTCCTCCGATTACGACCAAAACAAGAGCATAGAAGGAAGTGGTTGCAATTTTCTACCATAACTCAGAGTGCGGCGACTGTGGCTACCACACCAACTAGTAACTGTACATCTAGGCTCCGGTCGACAGCTGAAGCTGAAGCTGAGGCAGTGAAGCATGGAACGCAGCATGCCGCGACGGCACGCGGAGGAGCCTCCATTAGCACCTCATTGACAGGAGGAGAGGCATTAGGTTACGCACATCCAGAGATCAGCTTGCACTGGGATGCGAGATGCACCAGTGACCGCCAGACCTGTCTAACTGCCATATCGCGTGCCGCACTCATTATAGATGGAATGTACACACTGTATGGATGTGGCAGCAGCAGCTCATCCGCATCCGAAGTCGTCGTCTCCCACAAGTGTGTTTGCCTAGCTCTTGGCAATGACTTCTGACAGGGGCCATCAATAACCATCGAACATCGCTCAAAAAGGCCCAGTGATGACATGACGATGCCTTCGACACAAATTCCGCCAGCAAATACAAACAAAAGCCATGGATGTAGGCTGCAAAACGTTCGTTTCTCAATCAGGGCAGCCTTCTGTTATTGAATTCCAATTCGTAAATTAATTAAAATACCCATAAGAACAGGCACTTCACTCATAAGGGGACCCTTGAAATATCGTCGCCCTGAGCACTAACTCCCCACATTTGTCACTTGATACTTCCGGCCAAAGGAGGCCTGCCTGGCCGGTTAAGTCTCTTTCAGTAATTAGCTGGCATTTGCATTTCGTTAAGGCTAAGCCCTCTCCCCGTCTGCTTTGGTAATTTATCATCTCTGGTCTCGTTAGCCAAGCGCCCTCTTCGCTGGAAGTCTGCTTTTGCTTTTGCTTTTGCTCCAGTTTTGCAATGTATATCTGTCGCAATTCGTTATAATAGAAGAACGTTTCCATATTTAGGTTCTGAATGGCCTGCAGTGGAATTCAAGCTCTCAGTGTCACTTTCAATTTCTGGCAATTTAATTCGCGTTTGCAGTTAGTTTAATGTGCGTCTCTGAGCTCCGTGTCTCTCGTGTTTGTGGGGTTTATGGAGCATATCCGTCAGTGAGGTCAGCACCATTAAAATTTGCCTATCTATCATCAAATTTTGTTAAATAAAATCTAGAAAAGGTAGACTCTATATATATAGTATTCCAAATAATATATGGCAAGCTTGAGAGTGGGGTTTGCAGGAGCTCAGCAAATGCAAATGAAAATGAAAAGTGCTCTGCCCCGACCAAGTCAAAAGCAATTTGCCTCACCCCGTTGCACAATGGGAATGCAGAGCGCGATTAGCACAAATATGGAAGCAATTGAAGTGGCAGAGTCATGCCGACTCGGGCCATTAATGGCCTGGTCAGCAGGTGAATACGGAGGAGCTCCTTCGGGCCCCGCCCAAGCATTCCGCTCCCAGTGCCCGCTGCAATTGCAGATCGCCCGCCCGCCGCGTGTAATTATATAATTGGGTCTCAGTGAAGTCACTGCATTTCTAATTAAGGTTCGCCACCGCCATAATCGCCGATGATCTGCCAGATATGAGCTACAAAGGCAAAAATGTGTGTCAGACACTTGACATTAAATGAAATGAAATTGCCGACGCTCCATGTTTGTCATCGACATCGCACACTGCCAGCTGATGACATCGTTTGACAACATCCCATGGATGCCACCGAGCACCTAATGGCCTGTAACTGCTCCTTCTCCACTGGTTTCTTGAGCTAGAAGTCGTGGGTGGTGCTAGGGTGCACCTTGGGTGATACGGGGCGTTAAACGCGATAAGCGATGTTCCCTACTCCACATTAAAGAGCACAACTTGGTTGTTCGCAGTGGGTTAGAGCCACTGTTGCCCGATGTCAAGAAGCTACCTGGCTCTAGAGATGATAATGCTTTTATTGCGACTGAAAACCAACAACAACGTATATCTCAATAAATAAATGCAAGGCGACACTCTGTGTAAATTAATCACAAGCCCGGCTGCCGTCGTTTTTGGGGTTTGCCTCACTATCCAATTTATTTGACCAATTTGAATTATTTTCGCACACGAAAACGGCAAAACAAATAGCCATAAATGAAAGCAATAAAAGTTGTTGCGACCGGGGTGGGTGCTCAAAACAAATGCACGAATAAGTAAACGCCAAAAGCAGACACACAAAAATACAAATTTGTGCGCCAACAAAATAAACTAAGTAAAAAAAGCCCAAACTGAAAGCAGAGAGAGAGGAGCAAGGGCTCGCCAATTCACAGACAAGGTAAACAAACCCAACGACCTCCGGAACAACGGAGCGACCAAGCCTGGGCTGATCTCACAGCTCGAATAAGTGTCCCACAAAAAGAGGAAAGCAGCGACGACGTCGTCATGCCAGAGCCAGTAGTAGCCGACGACGTCGCCACCGCTGCTGGTTGTAGTTCAAGGTGCGCTGGAGATGAGTGGCATGCGGGTGCAGTGGGGCCTGGCTGACGGGAACAGCGCTCCGCTGTGCCAGGCGGAGTTTATCCTCACAGAGGGCGCACTGCCGCCGGGGCCAAGTCATTCTGCCATGTGCACTGTAAATTGACAATGATTGCCCACAATTTGCTCAGCACAAAACACGACAGAAACGAGCCAGGGAGAGGCTGCGAGAGCCAGTCAAACGGAGATGCAAATGCAGAACCAGAACCAGATACAGATGCAGATGCAGATATCCCGCCTCAGATAGATATGCAAAAGGCAGAGGCAGATACAAGCGCTGGATCGCAGCCACTTTATGGGCAGCAGTCGCTATGTGCGACTTGTTTGTTGGCAGCCTGTCCCATAACTCTGGCCACTTAAGTTGTGGCGCAGCCACGGCCAGCCGTAGAGCATCGCAAATCATCGCCAGAGACGATGCTGGAAGGGCATCTTCTCACTGAATTTATAAGCAGTTCCGATGATTTTTCAATTAAGATTGATGGTAATGAAGTCGTTTTAAGTCCATACCCGGCACCGCCTAATTGACTGCTCAAGTTATGTAAGCAGCACTACGTCGATTCACGCATATTTCACTCCCGAGCCTTGTAAGGAACCGCCGCAACCCCAGATCCCCCATGTTTACCCGGTGTTTACTCATAAACGTTGCGAATAGGTGCTGCAGCAGCAGGTCCACTTCCAGAAGGAGTATTGGAAACCAGCCGTAAATGGATTTGCAACGTACTTATGGCAGCCGAAGCTAAGCATTGTACAACAAATCAAAAGACAAGTTCCAATGGCAGGGAACTCGAGGGAGTGGGCGGGATGACTACATCCTAGCCCAGGTGGAGTAAAGTATTATTAACTCACCAGTCAGTTCTATGCGCACTGCACTCCAGCCAATTAATCTGCAAATAGACAGCAAAATGTATTATAAGTATTTTTATTATTTTGAATGCGAGATGATGTTAATTAACAAACAAACAGGCGAAACATTGAAAAGCCATTAAAGGTGAGATTCCCTCCCAGGCAAGCAGCCACCGCATAAGATAGACAAAACTGAAAAATCCATTGATAGACCAAAGCGGCTTCCACTTTGTAATCTATCACTTGAGCCGACACTATCGACGCCAGATCTTTCGAGCTTGATGAGATTAGAGATTGGAGTACAACAAAGTGATAGTTATGAGGAGCGGGACGTGGAAAGTGGGTTACCGTTAGGCACGACTTGAGCCAGACTAATTGCAGCGGCTCCCCGGCAGTACACCTCCTCCACCCGGTGCAGGATGGGTATGCCTTGTGGCATATGTGGTACTGGCCATTGCTTCCCAGAGGTAAGACGAAACCAGTTTACTGCTAAAAGTCAACAAGCGTAATCTTCGCTGCACGTGGGGCCACTCAGGAGGGGCAAAGAGTTCCGCAAAGTCGCTAGAACAAAGAGGCCGCCGTGAGGAAATCGGGGCTTATGGAAGGGAAATGCAACTACCGGCTTGGTCAACGATGTGAAGATAGGAAGCCCTTCGGATAAGTCCCCCTTAATCAATGATGGGAGTGTGACGTGACCCACATCCCATAATGAATGACTATGGCCGTCAACTTACAGGAGTATAAAATATATATATTTGCTAATTAATTATGGAACCACAGGTATTTTTAATGGCCAGGCCATAAAATGCCATAATGTTGCAGGTAAACGATGAAACGCCACGAGTCGTGGCTGGCCATTTAAGGTGCGAAGAGTTCATATTTTTGAGGTCAGCTCTTTCCCACTGTCGACTGATGGGCAGGGGCTGGACTTGTGGTCAATCTTGAAGTGACGCACCTTAAAGCCTGTAGATGGAACCCTCTAGAGAAGTATTCACATATATTATGGTCTTACCCTCTTGTGCCGATAATTGGTGTAGGCCGCCACTCCGAAAGTATAATTACAGATGGCAGATACGCCCGCGTATCGTATGTCGAGCATAGATGCAGATGCTTGGCTTGATTGTTTGGCGCCATACTTGTTGCTTGCACTGCTCGGGGGAGGCCAGAGGAAGTCCATTATTACACTGCACTGCTGCTCAGCGATTCAGACATCCAGACCGGACAAACAAACCCCGGAATCAGACAAACGGCATTTTAATTGGAGCCGACAGACGACATTCGTGTGTGCTCCAGCTTCTGTTTTTTTGCTGGAATTCGAAATAGCACCGCACAGCAAGCTCTCCGAAAACAGTCCTCGATCTTATGTAAATGTCCGCAGCAGACGCTTAGAAATGTGGCACACCACATCTGACACGACATCCTCCTCCTGTCCTCTCCGGTTAGGGGCGAGGCTGGAGCGGGAGTCAACGCTGGAGTGGAGCTGACAAAAGCAGCTGAGCAGGCAGAATGACAAAGTGCACGATAAGACCCGTTGTTTGCAGTGCTGATGGTCCACACGTCCATATAGAATTAGCAGATTCAAGGGAATTCTCTACTCTGATTTGTGGTGTCTGCCGTCGACCTCGCCAGCAATTCAATCAGCTAGCTATCCCTCTCCTCGAGTGCTTTCCATAAATCAATAACACACAATTGCAGTGACCCAGTCCATTAGCCAGGAGAGACCCCTAGTTCCGGCTGGCAACCCGGCCAATTACTGGCAGGCTGGCAGGCTGGCAGGACTCTTGGCCCTGCCTAGTTTTCGTATAGCAACAATTGGCGGCTAGCCACATGGAAAATTGGTACGTTCAGAGCGACTGCCCTATTCCAGGGAGAGAGAACGGTCTGTATAGCAGAGTTATGTAACCTGTGCCTTTAATTTGCAACAACGACATACCCAACAGACAGAACAGCGTGTCAAGTGGCAGGCCAGGAGCCCAAACAGGACAGTTGCTGACATGAAATGGCGCCTACACCAGCCAGCAGGGGACTCGTGAACGGACTGGGAATAGTCCTCCATCCAAACTGCGTGTAGTAGCCGCTATTGGAGACCGTCTATTGATTTTCCATTGTCCCCGGGACATTTTCCTTGTCCATGTTGTGCTGTCACTCTTCTGGCATTTGTTGTTGTCAAGCACTTATCGCCAATACCCAGCAAGTCCTGCTCGTTATGCCTGTCCCTGGGTCGTAAGGGATCTGGAAGGCGTGTTCCCAGAGACCCAGACCCAGAGCTCCTTTTCGGGGTAGCTTTAAGCTGGTTCTCTTATCAGCAGCTGCCTCAACTCAAATCGAGTCTTGGGGCTCACCTTGGTCGCGGCTTCATAAATTTCATCTGCAAAATGCAATTCAGCAAGAATAGAGGGTCGGATTGGAGCAGGAGGAGGCAGAGGCTGTACTCGGGTATATCGAATTCGCTGCCTCGGGCTCTCGTTGTTCGTCTGTGTGGGTGGGTTAAGACGCGCATGAACTGGGTCTGCTCCAGGTTGCGTCTGGGTCTGGACTTGAACCTCAATCTGGAGTCGCACTCGAACTCCTACTCCGTCGGGCAACAGCTGTGCATACACACAGAGGGAGCTTTTGTGTACTTTAAATTTAGCGTTAACATTTCTGGCCGACGACTCCTTTCTACTTTCTGCCTTCCTTGCAGGATTCACCCCTGAAGGAAAGTGAAAAGTCGGCCTCTGAATTACGCTTTTGAATTGCGCAGCCACACAAAGCCGGCAGGGTTTTCATTGCCGATGCTGGAAGTAATAGTCGAGTCGAATGTGCCCCAAAGTGGCGGGCGAAAGGTGTCTTTAACCTTCACGTCAAAAATTGATGGGAAACTTAAGGTTTCGGAACTGTAGGAAGTCTATATTTCCTCCAGACCCAACAACACATTGAGTTATGCGAAAGCTAAACTGTTTGCACTTGAGAAAAAAACCATAAACTCTTCAGAATCAGCAACAAGCGGCAGCGAGCGATTTCAAAGGCACGCAAGCCACTTCAGAGAAGGAAGTGTGAGAGTGTCGAGTATGTTAATGGCCAGGATGCAGGCCATGGGACTGACTTCTCCCCTAATCGAAGAAGGGTGACTCGCAGCCAAGCCGCCCCCGAAGCGCAGCCAATAAGTCCGACAACAATGTGGGCAATTTCAAAATTTATCACAACGGAGCGGCGAGCCGGGAAGGTCCTTTGCGGGGTGGTTTCCACATTACCAGCGCCGCAGTATAAGCGTGGAGAAATGTCGGCCCAAATAACCATTTCACTGTGGAAATTAATTTTTATTTTATGTGCCTCGCTTTGTTTGCTTTGTTGGTTTACAGAAAGTTGAAATAATTGGCGGCGGGCGCCGCGCTACGGGTGTACCGGCACCAATGCCATCAGATCGGGATCAGGATCAGCACCAGTTCCAAGAGTTGGAACGGGACACGTGCGGTTTGCGGCAAATGGGCGCCTGCGGCGCTACTTATATTGTGTTTGCATTACATTTGTGGCTTTTGGGGCCTGAGAATGGGAGTCGCAGCGGAATGGCAAACACCAGAAAATTCACAGAACGCCTGGGACAATTTTCGTGTTGGCTCCAGTCTCCCAGCAAAAGGAAATGCAGAAGAAATTCCCATGGAGTCGCCGAGAAAAACATTTCAATTGGCAGCTACAAAATAAACGTATTCAATATTATGGCCACCACTGTGCTCAATCCGAGGACCGTTTTCACTCAACTTTCCGACTCACGCACACCAAACAACATTATAGAGGACGACGACGAACAACAAAGGCGTAGTAGGGAATGAAATAGAAATAGAAAAATAATAAAATAACGAAATAAGCGCATGCCAGGGCCAACCCCCTGTCTGCCAGTTCGCCAGTTGCCGTCTGCAGGATGCGCGCTGCCCGAAAAATAGAAGCCTCGATTCACGATTTGCGAGTGGCAACAAGCACGGGCCCGAGAACGTGTAATGCTGTAAGCAGGGCCAGACACCGAGACCGAAACCAGACCGAGTCGAGAACTGAGCTAAACCACCCCTCTGTGGCACCGCAGCACACAAGGATGCCTCGGAGGACAATGCCACAAGAAGAAGCAGCTGCCGCTGTTAGTTGGCTCGCAGGCATCGTCCTCGCATTTTCCATAGCTTCTTTTTTTGCGTACTTGTCTCGGCGCGTCATCGTTGTCCCTGTCCTCGTCCCCATCCTTGGGCTCACATCTGGATCTCCTTCACAGGGCCGTGCTCACGCTCAGCTCATTCCAATGCAGTCGACAGGAGTTAAAGGAGAGAAGTCGGAGTCGACAACGAAATCCCAGCGAACGTGATTCATTCACGGAATTCTCCAAAGGTGTCTGTTTTGACTGGCGTTATGGAGTTAGGGGCATCAGGTGCTGGAGTCTGCCAGTCGCTCTAGATTGCGTCTGCTCATCCCTGCTCCCGGACGACGGCGAGCTGAGTCGACAGACCGTGACAAATTCTTCCGGTGAATAAGGAATCAGCGCAGAAATTAACCTTCATTACTAGACTCCCCATCGCTTTTCTAATGATTAGGGGATTTCCAACTATTTGCCACTTTCTGGAGTCTTAAGTTATGAGGAAAGTCAGATATTGCTTTTGCGACAACTCGCGCTACCTTGGGCCCAGTCCCAATCATCATCCAATATCCACCAATTTAATCCAATCAAGATGCCACCTCAAGAGCAAGCCGGAGAATAAACGCCATAAAAGGAGGCGATTCAGGTTCTTTACATACACGAGCATATAGAAATAATAAATGAGCGACTGACTCATAATCACTAGGCGCCGCTGGAAGCGGGGAGGCAGGAGAAGGTGGCTCAAGGTCCCGCAAACATTTCAATATCAATCTTCGATTTGATGACATCACACGCCGACACGCTGCTCCTCTTGTGTGCAAAATTTCCAATTAAGTTAAGTTTAGGCTGATGGCTGATAGCTGAACGGAGCGCAGCATTGAATGGAATTGAATAAATTGAGAATTGCTCAGCTGGGATGTGGGAGGAATAATGCCACACAAAACGACCAATAAACCATTGGTTTTTCCCCACTCTTTTAGCCCTTCGGTATAACCCTTTGCCACGGCAACCCCTAACAAAACTAGAAACTTATCAACACCACTGGAGTTGACCTCTGGCAGTGGAGTGCACGACCTCTCACGCTCTCATGCCTGGTGTCCATCAAAGCCAAATCGATTTTCATTTTTGGGAGGGCTTGAAGGTCTTCCCAACGAGCCCAGACCAGGACTAAATGCACCATTCTCGGTCGGAGGAAAAAGGCGGGAATATAGGCAACCTACCGCAATATGAAAGCCAGCTGGGCGACATATCTGCATACGCGAGTGAGTAGTAGTGTCTCCTGGAGTCTCATTTTGCCGCCTATGTGGGCCATCGCGTGCTCTGCGAGAGTTAATTGAGCGGCGAATAAAATTTCATAATCAACAACTGCTGGTAATGGGATATTTACGATGTTCCCCCGGGTTGCTGCTACTGCCAAGGCCTCCTATTTTCTTCTTTTATTTTTGGGGCCATAAAGAGCTGACTACAAATGGAAAGCAAGGATGACTCACCGTGCACCGCCTCGAGCCCTGCGACCTTCAGCAGGGTCCGCGTTCGGGCAACGACATCGGGGCGAATTATCTGTCGACTTTGGTTCACAATCTACTTCTTCGTCCTCCCTTCTGACTGAGCTTTCATTATCCCTTTGGCAGCTCAAGCAGACAATTGCCTGCCAGCCCCATTCTCATCTCGTCCTTCTTTTTGCGTTTTTGCTCCTTGAGCATTTGTTTGTTTTCGTGCGGGTGTCCTTTGCCCTCTGGCCCAGCTGTTTGCGTGCGTCAAATAAGGTTCCCACCCGTTCAGGGCAACCCAGGAAGGCGGCGACAAGGGCGAAGAAGAGGCCAGGAGCCGTCAGCCAAGCAAACGCCAAGTTGGCGCCATTTCAATGCCAGTTCGGGCCAAAGTATCCGCCACCGAAGTGCCTGTGAGTGTGTCAGACGTTTTAAGAACATTTGAAATACCGATGGGTATTAACATTTACTGTCGCGTCGCAGAAATTTTTAATATCGAAAGTCTCTTTAACGGGGAAAAGCGGAAGTTCAAATGAATTCCACATGTTCCCGATCCAAATTCATAGCCATGTATGTCCCGGTAATGAGGTGCGATTATAAAGACGCAGGCAGCGGTAAACGGCCCGAAAATACCAAATATCATGACAGAGTTGTTGAATGGAAGATATCACATAACATTTAGCCAAGAGCGACCAAAATCTACTTTAGGACAAGGCAGGTCGAAGTTTGTACACCCTGGCAATTTTCAATTGGATCAGGGGCCTAATTTTGAAATCATAATCATACCTAAGCCAAAAATGCATTATATCGGACAGGTTTTGCAAGGAATTAATTTATATTTATAGGGTCGGCAGTGACTCCTTCACTACGTTTCAAACTTCTGACCGGGCTTATAATACTACGCAAGGCTTTAACGAGGCAGTGAGGGGGGAGCAATCACTAAGCTATCAAAGCGAAGCACAAACATCAGAATTGTGTAAATAAAACATGTTTTTATGGCAGGGAACCGAACCGAGCAGAACCGAGACGAAAGAAAGATTTGCGTCCCCTGGCAATAGAAACGCTTGAAAGCTTATCCAGAAATCATCTTGGAGTTGTTCTCAACCGGAGTTTGTGGGCCTCAAAGTGCGGATTTGGCGTAGGGCTCCCCTTTCCTGTCGATTTCGCAGTGTATTCAAATCGTTTAACATCGAAAATCGATTCTTCCCCTCCTTTGCCGGCAACACGGAAGCACTTGCCGCCGTCCGGAGTCAGAAAGGTCCCGAAACGTATGCTTATTAGGTCGAACGTGCCCGTCACGAGACTCCCGGAGCAGGAAAACTGTCTGTGCCAGGGTTCCGGCTGACTTTCCCCCCCTTTCCAACCCCCTATCCGAACCGAGGCTAACCCACCCCGGGTCGCCACTTGAGCCGGCGTCCTCACAATAAAAGCCTTTGATTATATCCTCTGGTATTCCTGTGAGAGACAGAGAGCGGATTCCCTCCAAGTCCGAGACCTCTTGCTGCCCGTCTGCTTCTTCATTATTTACAGCCTCCCAAAAAAAAAATGGTTGCCTTTGAAGAATTTTCCAACGTAATTTATGTGCGTTTGCCTCACTTTTCCCCACTGGCAAGGAGGTACTTTTGGCTCAGCTTTTCTTAGCACCCATTAAAAATGCATTATTTGGCCCGAAGACAGCCAGAAAAGCCCCCAGTTCCGGAGCACTTTTTGGGGAATTTAAAGTCGGCTCAGTTTACGTTCACTTCGAGAGCCGGAGACCCTGATTCAATGGAAAATGGAGCGGATCCGCTTTCTGACCCAGTTGTGGCGAGGGCAAGGGAAATGCAGCTGCTTACCTGAATAATAGTTCCTGGTGCACGGTGCACCTCCCTTTTTTCCAAATTCACAGGTGGCCGACGACACTCGTGGTCCTGAAATCGAGAAATCATAAAGCAAACATGAGACTTTTGCGATTATATAGCCGTACGATTCTCGCGAATTAAAATCCAAAGCACAGTTTGCTACCGTTCTAATTTCAACACATACACACACGCATACGAGTTTGCACACACACACAAGCACACGCAGAACTGGTCAGCAAACGAATGACGTCATTGCCAAGGATGCTGCGCGCGTCCTGTGCTCTTATTATTTGTTGCTGTTTTAACAGCATAACAAACTGTTTTCCCAGAAAGCCGCCAGCAATGATTGCGATTTAATTAGCGATTTAGGCTGGCGCCAGCCATACATTCAGTTTTGTCTGTTCTCGGTCTTATTCCCGAAATTCGTTCATCTAACAGTAAAGTGTCGCACAAATAATGGAAAACGCGCGCAGTCAGTAATCAGAAAATGGCAAAATAAGAAATCCGACGTTGTTGCACAGGTACTCGCCTTAAATACACGTTTCTATCAGTTTTGAAACACACCGCACTTGGCTTTCCGTTTCGAAGCTCGAATTTTTACCGCGAACCTGTGATTTTCCGCAACACAACCGCTTCCGTCGAAATTTTTTTTGTAACGTTTACAAAGTGGTGAGACCAGGTGGTGTTTTTCCTATCAATCTTTGCGGTGTGACTGCTCCTTTCCCTAGTTCTTTGGCATTTTTTAAGGGTAAATGACGGGTCACACTTTACTGACCGTTTTTTTTTTTTAACTTTTCTATTTCTCTTCCGAAACATTGTATTTGCCTTAACTAATTTAATTATATTTACCGTGTCAGCTACAAGGGAGAGCAAGAGCAAAATGGTTGAGAACACTCCGCTCCAGAAATACTAAAAGTGTGCCGTCGGAAATCTCCTAATGCCATCCAACTTTCTAGTATTGTTACGCTGTCGAACAGCCACTTTAAACTATTTGCCTCTCGCTCGCACTTAAATAAAGAAGTGCAAAATGAAATACCGCCTACCTTTAATAATTTGCACCATACCGCCCCCTTGTTTTCAAAGTTGAAAGATGCTTTACGACATGACAAACGTTATGTAGAATGTAATGTAGAAACCACACGTAAATTGTTCTTTCCAGGGTATTATAAGTTCAGTCAAAAGGAACGGGCCAGATCGGCCGACTATATCATATAGCTGCCATAGGAAGGATCGGAAAATTTTTAGAAAAGTAATTGTAACTTTTCATGTTTTCAACAGTTTTTTATCAAATTTGAGATATAGCCATTTTATACTATTCTACAATTTCGTGTAAAATTTTATGAAAATCGGACTTCTATATCAAATAGCTGCCATACAAACTATTGTTAAAAATAGTGGAAAATGCAATACGGTGAATGTAAAACTGTAAATAACATGTATGATATCACGAAAAAAATCTGGTTCTGGCAACTGTTTATTTGATGTCCAAAAACAGAGTTCTGTTAATTTACGCTGTTAATGAATTTCAATTCCTACATGAGAATCTGTAAACGTGTAAAATGTGAAATGTTAAATAACATTCTAAGACACTTCAATATTCTGACTGACCAGAAAAAAAATATAAGCAATACCAAAATAATCTATCGATATATTGGTAATTTGATACATTTTCAACAACCTAAAACGACCTGACACCCGACAGCACCCTCGAGAGTTCTGTTAATTTACATCCACCCGACAGCCCTCAGAGATAATTCTGTTAATGACAGCAGGTCTGTTAATGTATTTTACTTTCTACATGTAACAATCTACATAAATGTTATCTAGATGTGGAAGCTGTTAAATAACAGCTTCTGAACACAGAGTGACCAGAAATACATATTGCTACATTGGTATTATGTGATATAATATATTTTTAAGAAATATAAACGACGAGAGAGAATTCTGTGAACTAACATCCACCCGACAGCATCCGAGAGAGAAGAGAGCGGCAATGTTACGAATATTACATTTTACATAAGAATTTGACGTGTCAACAACGTCTATACGTAAAATGTTAAACAGCAGCTTCGGAATTCAGTGTGACCAAAGCAGAGACATCGCAAAAAGTCAAACAAAAAACCCTGCCATTTGCAGCGACCAACAATTTCAATTATTTAAAAAAAAAAGTTGCATCGAGCGGACGTGTTTTCGACCGTGTCTCTGTGAGTGTGTGTGTAATGCAGCTGTCGCTTTGGGCGAATAATAACCACATAGTTTGATCGCAAGGGGGCCCCCCGCCGGCGAGGAGCCGGGAAAACGGTGGAAAAAAGGGATGCGCTGGATAATTTCCCAGGCTCAACGCCCAAAAGTCGCCGGCGACGCCGACTACAACAACAACGGACTCAGCTGAAATTGTATAAATGCGGTGCTGACGCGGTGAAATGGGAGCATAAAAACTACATTTATGTGCGAAATATGCGAAAACTTCGTTGCGCGTGTGTGTGTGAGTGCAAGTGTGTCGGTGTTGCAGAACAGCAGCGCACAGAAGACGGCGAAGAAAGAAAGAGGAGAGAAGGAAAGGAGGATGATGGCCGCGCTTATACCTGCTCCGAAATAAACCGAATTTGGAGTAGCCAGAAATGCAAACTGGTTAACTACGTAACGTAACGTAACGAAACGCTAGATTCCGCTAAATCCCCTTCTGCTCCTCTTCCCACCCCTCCCCTTGGCCCCGTAACCGAGCGTTGGCTTAAGAAAATGTGTGGCCATATTTTTTTCCTTCTCTCCATCTCCGTCTTTCTTTTGCGCTCTCCCTTTTGAAACTCTCGCCGCGCCGCTGTTCTCGCCGCCTCCGTTTTGTGCCGCACTTCCAAGATAAAGAACGCGCGTCTCCCGAGATAAATGCGAAATATTGTATCTGAATGGCCGCCGTTCGCGTTTGCCGTTGCTGTTCGCAGTGGAAAAGCCGAATTGAGTTGGAAACAGCGTACTCATTGTTCTCATCGATTTGTTTTGTCCGACAGAAAAGTGTGTGAAGCCTCCGTAGCGCCGAGTACAAGCCGCAAACTAACAAGAAACAACCACGCTACGGAAAGGAACGAGCAGAAAGACTAATTAAACCGCGCCACAGGTCCAACCGCCGCCGAAATGTCGGAAGAAGTCGATCGCAACGATCCGGAGCTCAAGTACCTCTCGGTGGAGCGCAACCAGTTCAACGATCCGGCCACACAGGCCGAGTGGACACAGAAGCGTCTGGTGTGGGTGCCGCACGAGAATCAGGTGAGTTACCCTTGCGCTAGCTCTGCCCTTGCCTTTGCCTCCCCTCCCTTCAGCAGGACCTGTAGATCTGCCAGCCATCCAGCAGAAGATCCTCGCTCGGGATTTCCACCCCGGTCCCTAGTGGCTGATTCAGTGCGGGAACCACGCCCGAACCCTAAATTACCTGACATAAAGCAAATTGATAGCTCCGCTGTACGTGAGCGCAGAGGCTACGTACAGTGGAACCTCTGTAGGTGATTAGGCTTGATTTTACTTCGATCAGATTCAAACAATGAAGTGCTCTTGGGATAAATGTAAAAAAATTTTAATTGTAAAGCTTAGAGTCTTATAATTTGCCCCAGTTAATATTATTTTAAACAATACTAGCCAGGTACATAATAATTAGTTGTGGCAGATTCCAGCTAAAGAAGTTCGCCCGTATCTATAATCAGTTTGCGCATTGTTTGTCCACCGCTTCGAGCTCTTATCGCAGAGGCTGCCTCAGTCATCGATTGGGGCATGAATCACGATTGCAATGGGGTTTATTTTTATAAAATTCGGTTAACTAAAACAACTTCTTCGAATTTTCATTACTTTCACACCGCGGTGATAAAATTGAGTAAACATCCGACGACGACCGACGCTGCGCTGATTCATGCGTAGATGCTGAAATCACCGCTTTAGTTGGCCAGCGGGGATTTAACGGTTGAATTGGTCAAATCCGCGACGGTACTCCCAATTTGCATGCAGACCAAGAGCAAGACCCGGCCCAGAGCAGCGACTCACTGACTCACTCTTGACATGGGATATATAGAGAGAGAGAGAGAGAAAGAGAGAGGAAGAGCGAGAGCGAAAGAGTGGGAATCGGGAACGGGCCAAACAAGTTTTTAATCTCTGGCCGGGTATTTGTGTGTTCGATCTGCGTGTGTGTGGCAGCGTTCCGAGCGTGGAAGCGAGCAGAGATTGGCCCAAAGAGACTTCTGCGCCCACTGCTGCTGCTGCTGCTGCTGTTGCTGCTGTTGCTGCGGCTGCTTGTGAGGCTCGTTTGGCAGCGAGATGATAACAAAGCTGGCCGTTTGTTTTGCTAATTTTGATTGTTTCCCCCCGCTCCGTCTTTTGTTGTTAATGGAGATGACTTCTTTCAGGTGTCATTCAACTGCATTCCTCTCGCTCAAGCCTAATTCTAGGGCCGTAAAGCTAAACAGATAAATTTAGCGGCCACGGCTGGGGACTGCCCCCTTCCCTCGACTCTGCCGACTCTGGCAGTTGGGTAATTGCTTTATTTGCCAGAGATAATAGAATGGTAGCACTTTTGGGTGACTTCACATAATACATAATAAAAAGAACGACGAAAACAAAGCCAACAACTTCACATTTTTGTGTAATTACGCGATCACTTAAACAGACATTTGCTTTACAATGGAATCTCATAGAAAGGCAGCAGCGGCAGCGGCAGCAGCACCAGAGATAAAGTCAAGAAATAAAAAAAACACAAAATACGAAACGGCACGGCACGGCTTCGCAAACGCGCTCGATTGTCATGAGTTGTCAGTCGATCGGTGGTGCCGCCAGTTGGTGGTACCGCCAGTTGGTGGTACCGCCAGAAAGACGAAAAGGCTGAGGGACTGACACATGAGACAGGCAGAAATGTAAAGAAATTTGCATATAGCACACAAACTGTTGCTCCACTGGAATGCCCAGCAGATACAGATACAGATACAGACATAGGCAGATACTACAGACACAGCCACATTTACAGTTTAACGGGAACGGACCCGAACTCGAACTCGAACGCGGCCAAAAGGGTATTCGCCAATTGTGTCAACACT